TGGACCTATCTAGCATACTGACCCAAATAACCAAACAACTTAAAACTAAAGCTGGTAAAACTAAATTCTCTGGAGTAAAATTTACTGGATATTAAGGTTTATTTTCACAACGACATAAAAGTATGATCAGCAGTGGGGCCCTAAATCGAATAGGCATTTTTCTGACTAACAACACCTCACTATAACACAACGAAAGAAAGACGAAATATGGGAAAAACTTACAGACGAACCACTCAATAATCTGATCATATGATTGAGAACTGCTTTTCATACACGGAAGAGTACCACAACAACAAAATATTGAGCATCACAAATACAATCACTCAAGATCAAAAACCCTACATTTAATACAACACATAAAAGAGACTAGATCAAGATCTAATCCCTGAGCCCCAAGTCCCCATACACGAAAACAATGTATAAAAAATTACCAGTCATTCAGATTTCTTTGATTTATGTAACAGAGAAAAAACAAATAGCAACTCAGAATGTGAAGGACAACCTGGCTGGTGGACAAGTCCACCTTTATAGAAGATAAACGCAGCATACAAGAATTAGATAACAAAAACAATTTACCCGTTCTAATTTATGGAGGCAAGGACAAGAAGTCATCATCTCTCGTCGGAAGTTCATTAGACATATTAAACAGAAAACAAGCACACATTATTAAAATATGATCAAGAGACGAAGAAACGGAAAACGATACCATCAAGTGTTTAATTACACACATCAGACAAAATATATACTAATAATTCATTATACGCACAGACATTTTAACAAGATTACACACCATAAACTATGGATTAGCAGATCTTTTTTACAGTATAAGAAAAAGGAAAAACTCGACATCTAGGATGTGTACCCATTGATTTCACATATTGGTCTGACAAACTGTAACAATATTTAAGGCAACTAATTAGGACTAAAAAACGGAAAGAATTCAGCTATTGAAAATGAGACGATCACAATTCTGAAGATAATGTAATTCTACACCACTCTCAAGGAATTATGAGCAGAACAATCACAATCACTCAGAACATCACATCCTCTTACACCAAACAAAAGTCAACGTAGCATCAACCTGACACTCCTAGGCCCTCAATCCAGACACATCAATTTACTGTGGGCAGATCCAAGTCCACCACTCACAAACGCACCAGATGAATGATGCGTTAAATGAACTCCCTGCCAGACTGAGCAATCGAAACTCCCGAATCGCATGCTATTGTACGTCGTCATAGCTGGAAACAGACCGACAATAGAGTACATATGGGGAATACCATCGTCCCAATCCCAGAGGACTCCCGAATCATCAACGATGCTCCGATATACATCAAAAGCGACACTCCGCCACACACACCAACAAGGCAGCGGGCCCTATAGTTGCGGCTGAAACTCGACGGGCACAAAAAGGAGCACTTCTTATATCAAATTAATTCAGTCCAGTCATGGGTGGCGTTTTCAACATCGCAAGAATTGGAACCAGAGAGATAGCGAGGAAGTAAGAAAAAGGGTAGCATATAAAATTTCTGATGCTCAATCAAACCAAGACACACATAATTAAGCGTTCTGACTGTAGTTTACCATTATAATCCACCCATAATGTTTACAACCAGAACTCCTATCAGTAATCCTGCAAATAAAAGTAGGATTTTGTTGGTTCTTGTAATATACATTCCTGACTCAACATTTCACTCAGAGACAAAAAAGATACAGTAAATAACACTGAACATAACTAATCGAGACATCCTCCACACTTCTAACCGAAAATACCTCCACACTATAACCCCATGCCTGGCTAAAATCCAGATAAGAGGGACCCATCGGCTCATGTTGAAGAAGAAGAAACTTCAGAAAACATCCATTTACCTTTGCAAGAAACCCACACTCAATCAGTAGTCAGATCTATCACGCCATACAATATAAGTGACACACACCGCCAACAAAACCGAATGGCAAAGGCAAGACACATAAACCTAGCACAAACAACAGCCAGAGTACACAAAAAATCAACAAGAAATCAACTTAAGATACAATCACAATTCAAAAGTACATAAATCTTAATTACACACACAGTAGTTACACAAATAACATGTATACTAGAATTCAAGGAAACTTTCATTAGAAATCAAGCAATAAAAAAAAGACAGAGTAAAAAAATACCAATACTCAATCTATATCCGATAAAAGCTCAGAATGTTAAAATATTAGATCACCATTACCCATGACCATAGAATGCCCAAACCACACCAATCTTAAAACATTCCCACACAACAATACAACCTTTATCCTACCTCAGACAAATAACCAATAACTAATAAAAACAGACCAATTAAATATACCATTATTTCACCTTGCTTTTAACATCATGCACCACAGTTGACTCCTCTTCTGAACTAATTGACTCGATGCATATAAAACACGTTCAGTGAGATAACAACACAACAAACTGAATTAAACCCACTCGCCACCTGGTAGTAGACCCAGAGGAAAATGAGAACAACAACAGAACAACTCTTGATACATAATCACAACAGACAAAACCGAAATCCCTCAAAACAGTCTAATTTACAAATTACAATAGTCACCATATCAACGCTAATAGCCACTAATAAAGTGAAAAGAGCGCTTGATAGTTAATTCGCACTAAATGCAGCTCATTTTCCTCTATATGTCAACACACACCTCAGGTCCTTGTGTTTTCTCGTACCACATTGCCACCAGGACTGCCTGCGCATGTCAGCCGCGTCTCCGTGCCTGAAAGCATAATGGCTCAACAAAGTATACTACAACAAAGGCCAGTAAAACCCCACGTGGGAAAGCATATGTGTTAGCTAGAACAGAGGACAAAACAAGAAACCAGCACAACCCACTGCGCGAACACTACACCGACTCTGCACACACAATAAACCTGATGTCACAACCACACCCTTACTCTGCTAAAGTACACCTACACTGCTGCCGTCCCTGCATCCTCTTACCTCAACACAGGGCAATCCTTAGACTTGCACTTAATGAACTCAAAACCCTTTCGCACCAACTAACATAGGACTGCACACAAACAGATGAAAAGAAGTACATGAAATAAAAAGAATAAAAAAACCGAAAGAGCATGATGAAGAAAAAATAAAAAAGCAGAACATTTGGCTGCTTAAGACAAACCAAACAGACCAATACACTTCTACTTGCCAAGAAGAATATCTCCACAAAAAGCAAACTAATATGCAACACGTGACACACACACGCACACACACATGCAGAGGGAGAACTGACACATACATCATATGAGCTACAGGAGGTCCAGTTCACTAATTGGAAGAAGTGTGTGGTGTACTCTTTGAAATGTGAAAGTAGACTCACACGAAATCAACAACAGGATCAACACACACACACATCACACTACAACAATAACACACAAATCGGCCACATTCAACACATTACCAACACTATACATTCACTGTATTGTCACTAGATTCATTAACTCTCATCCACGTCGCGAACCCAGTGCAACACCACCATATATATAAAGTTTACAACCACCTTGTAACCCTAGGAAACGGAGAAAGAAGTCGGGAACATAGAAATCGGTTCCAATCACAAACACACTCATCCAACTCAAACCTGCAGCTCCCACAATTCACTGAAATAATCAATCGGATGGAATTAATCCCAGAAAATCTGGATTGAACCAAAAATACCTAGTGAATTACTGGCCGCAGGCAACCCGAAGCCACAGGATTCTCAACTTTTTCAAAATCTCTCGACTGTCCAACCAAACATGGGTTGGAAAATCACAGCAACTCGCTGGCTTCACTGAGTGAGCAGCTAAGGTGACAAGGAATGATGAAACGGAAAAAAGCATCTAGAAGCTACTGAAAAGAAGTAAACAAAACGACCAAATCACAAATGGACGGTCCAGACAGGTTGCAGATGGTCGCACGGTCAGAGCTGGCATGTTTCTACGAACCTGCCAAAATTAAACATACCGCAGTTTTGAGCTCAAACTGGGTGGAAATAGAGGATCTCACACACGCACACACACACACACACACGCGCGCTTCTCGTCTAGTGTCGGGCCAAAGCAGGAACTTTCTCCTCTGGTGGGCGCGGCGGAGGCTGATGACTCACACACATTAATCTTTCTGGCTTTGCACGCCGGCAGCGGCAGACGCAGCCAAATTGCGTTTTACAACAAGAAAGTACAAGCAGTGCATTTTGACTCTGATAATTCCCCCCCCCCCAAATCCATTTCGACATTATGTCGCTCGTATGATTACAAGCAGGTGAGACGAATTGCAGAAGAAGGGGGGAGAGGAAAGAGGGAATGGGGGAGGAAGAGCACGAGGAGGTGGAGGAAATGATGACAGATGAAGGAGAGGAGGAGGAAGGGAAAATAAAAAAAAAGTAACAGATGGAGAGAAAGGTCGAAGGGGGATGCTTGAAGATATATCGCACTTGGACGTTCACCTTCAGCTTTTTATTAAAAAACGGATATTTTCTTATGTACCTAAAAAGTTAAAGGTGCCAGACTGCGTACATAAAAATGAAAGATAAATGGGTGACGATGTTTCCAAGGTGCATTTTGGTAATAAACATCCAATCACTGAACTTAGAACTGTTAACGGTGAGTGAAAGCTTGGCATTATGGTGTTGAGAAAATGGATTAAATAATCTGTAGGTTAAATAAATGAATTTTTGGGGTTTCTGGGTCAAATTTGGATGAACTCAAGGGAGTATGGTGTCACGCTTTGTTCACAACTGCGACGAGGAAGACTGGAAGGCTTCTTCTCCAAGGCACACAGTTATTGTTGTATTTAGAGCCGGGAAATGCCAAACTAACGGAAGTTGAAATAATTTAAATTTGAGGCCAAGCAGAAATACTTTTGAAACCAGTTGCTGTCTTCCTGCTTTGCAACTCTATGAAGGAGAGAACACGAGAAGGAAGGATGTGGATGAACAGTCAAAGGAGGAAAAGTAAGAAGAAGGGAACAATCACTTACTGGTGTGGTCGTTGTATCGTTCTATGTAGTACAAGTAGTGGATGGCTTTGTTCTTTGCCTGCAGACCACAGTTAACAGAAAAACACAGAAACAGAAAGTTGGCATATTGCTTTTATAATTCGTTTCAGTGGGTAAGTGGTGCCGGCTGTAGCTGCACACAAATTATATCAGTATTAGTCATATTATTAATAAAGCCTTTAATGATAAATAAGAAAATATACTGAATTACAGAAGGTCTGGGGTGCCATCTTTTAAGTTTACTGTGTGAGTTCTCTGATGTACCAGCCAGGACTGGATCACATCCAAGCAAATATTTCACATTCCAATTTTGTGGCAATGATCGGAATCCAAATATGCCATTACTTTAATATTTTTTTATTACACAAATCTGAAGGGAGCATGTATCAGTTAATCAATGTACATAGTAATTCAATTACTTCTGTGTTGGTCTTTGCTATTCAAGCTTAAGGCGCTTTTATATCATTGAGATTATACCAGCACACTCAATCTCTACTGAAGCCCAGAATACAAATAACTTTTCTATAATGCACCTGAATAAATCACATCACGATTGGTCCACGTTTATCATTTTATGAATCTCAAGACCAACACGAAAATAACTGGATTACTATGTACACTGATTAACGGATGCTTGCGGAATTTGTGGCATCGGAAATGCCACAAATTGGGAAATAATAACACAAAAACTGACTTAATGGTTATTTTACTTGGAATAAAGGTCTTACCTTCCTCAGAGCCGTGGTTCTGTCTACTGCTTTACCCAACGCAAAGCCTGTTGGAAGGAAGGGAGTCGGATTTAAAACATCTCTGAGAGAAGAGTGAAGAACACTGTCGGAGCTCGGTGTGTCTAAGACTAAGTTTAAGAAAAGTTCATGGTGTTATTTGTTAGGGATGCTGCCAATTAAACCCAGATTTGATTGTTTTAGATGTTGTTAAATTAGTGTTACTAATGAAGAGCCTTCATAAATACTAGAACATGAGGACATTTGAATCAACGCAGCATCAACAGACTCTGTAGGTTGAGTGCAGGTGAATCTCAGGAGTCTGTTAAAAGTTTCCTCAACATTTGTTTTATTTTTATTTTATCGCTCACTTCTGAAGAGCTTGAAAGCTGTCAAAACCATTTCCTGCAGTTCTCCACATCTACTGCGGCTGCAGTTACTTTTCAAATCTTGCAAAAACTTGTCCAAATATGTGTTTAAAGTTGTTCCCAGAGTCCTGATCTAGGTTTCCAGAGAATGTCCAACCTGCAGCTCCGTTGCCATTTCCCACAGCGACCAGACAGCTGATGGACCTTTTCCTGCCCTCCTTGGCCGTCATGTTGAACACACTCTTCACCTGCAAAACAAACACCAAACGTATCCAGTTCTGCTTGGCCATCATGTTAAACACACACAAATATTATCAAAATCGCAATATGGCAAAGTGCAATATGCAACTCACAGAAGTGATATGTTGCGAATCACAAGAGCTGTAATGTTTTGATTAAAGTAAAATGTGTGACAAAACAGCATTATGATGAATACTGTAATCATGCAATAACCAGTGCCCTTGTCTACAAACCATCAGTCTACCATAAATTTCACATCATCATGATTTTAATAATTTTTTTCTGTAAAATGATGCAAAAATGATAATTCCCACATAATCGTGAATCGCTTTATCTGTCAAAATGATCACAATATGATGCTTTTACCATATTGTGCTGCCCTAATCATTACCACGGCACTTTTTTCTTCACAATGCTCTTACAGAACTAACTTCATGACAGTCTGAGTTAACTGTAAGTCAGACATCCACCTAGGCTTTGTTAAATGTACTGGTGACACAACACCAAAGAGATTATGTGAAAGGGTTATTCTCCTCAGTTTGTTCAACACAACTATCAAACATGATATGCAACAGAAAGAAGGTGCATGCTACCCAAAGTGAGAACAAGTATAATTGACAACAGCCAGAGACATGGTCAACGTGGTGCGTACATATTGTTCAAGAGATTACTAAAGATCGGCTCAGAATCTTTTTAAAAACAGCATCTGCAAATATTTAAGGAACCATAATTGAATTGTGTTTGTGTGTGTAAA